AAGGGAGCTGGGCTACATGCAATGCAGCACTGGGGGGGTGGGGTGCCTCAGCAGCCAGCAGCTCCTCCCTCCCCCACCAGCCTCTTGCTCCTCCTGCCTTGATGCAGGGGCTTCGAGGCAGGAGAGTGGGAAGATGAGGGAGGGAGCAGATTGCCAGGAGGAGCCATGGCTTCTGAGCCTGTCCCCTCCCTCCCCTAAAGGTGGCTTAGTTTATCAGCAAGCTTCCCCCCTTAGAGCTGCGGCTGGGTGCTCTGGACAGAATATTCTTCCTCCGTGTTAAAGGTTTGTCAACGTGGATTGTTTTTCTACTGAGCATTTTTGAAGCTGCTCAACCCATTTGGAAGTTTCTTTGTGGACTCACTGCATCCAAAATATCTGGTTGACCTATGGAAACTCTCACTCACCCAGACCATGGTTGTCCCAAAGGTGCTTTTTTGGCATCCTTCAAGGACCCTCTGAAAGGATGCAAATGACCAGCTCTCCACTATCCAATCAGAGCCGAAGAAGCTTCTTGGATGACAAGCGAAACGTCTTCAAAGACAAAGCACGAACATCCAGTTGCCTCCTGAAATAAGGCATCTTTGGAGCTGGTTGACCAGGAATAACGGAGAAGTCTTAGTCCTCCGTGCTTCCATTGGCCCGTCTTTGCACTCGAGTGATGCATCCCTTCAGTCTCATCTCTTGATCCAATCCAGTCGACCAGAGAGGATCTAAAAGGCATTTTTGCATCAGTCATTCCTATCCTCTCTGGTCTATTAGAAACACAGAATCATAGGGCTGGAAGGGACCTCAGAGATCTTCTAGTCCAACCCCTGTCCAAGACAGGAGACCTTATTTCATCCTGGTTGGCCATTTTTTTTCTTGGATACCCCAAATGATGGAGCACCCACATCTCTGGGAAGCAGTCTGTTCCACCTGTTAATTGTTCTTGTGGTCCTTACTTCTGGGTTGGATCTGCCTTTAGTGATTCTCTATTGCTTCTTGTCCTGCCCTCAGGTGCCCTAGAGAATATGCCAACCTGCTCTTCTCTGCGACAGCCCCTCCAGCATAGGAAGACAGCTATCCTGACATGCCTAATTCCCTTCATTGTTCCTCATCTGGCTTGGCCTCCAGACCCATCACTCTTGGCTTCCTTGCTCTTCTCTGCATGCCTTCTAGAGTCTCAACCTCTTCTTTTGTATCACGGTGACCAGAACTCACCCGCCTACTATGGAGTGTTGGCGCTACGATCCCTTCCAGTTCTAGGATCATGGCTGGGCAACTGGGGGTGGGGTGGTCTGATTATCTCAGGGTAGAGAGGCAAGCCCGTGAAGTGAAGATTTCCCCCCCACCAGAATAGTTATTTATCACGATAATCTTTTAAAGAGAGGTGCTTGAGCTTCCCTTACACAAAGAATAAGCCACTTTCACGCTGAACTATCTGCATTTTATACTCCTCTGCTTTTTCCCCTCTAGCTGGAAAGCAATTTAGATTTTATTTCTTTGTAAACAGTTTTTCTAGGATCAAAATTTTATTCAGTATTCTTGGGCAAGCATTAAAATCTCCATTACAATATTATTCTAATTTTTACTGGCAAGTATCTTTTTGCCATTCTTCCTAAAGGGACTTCTGTTATTATTCCATACATTAGAACACCCAAAACTCAAGAAAACCTCAGTTATAAGGATTTGACTCACAAAATATAACGCATGTGGGTAGGTGAACTGCTCTGATGGGAATGTTTTATTTTGGCCCTTCAACATTTCACAAACAATTGTAGCATCCAAAACTAGAACAGGATACAGGTAACCTTTCTTGTTATTTTTTTCATTTCAAAGCAAAAGCTACAATTTTGAACATGACTAGCTTGAGGCAATTTAAGTAAAAAATATGTAGCACACATGAAGTGCTCCCCAGGCCTGCACAACCTACACAAGGAAGAAATGACATACACAATGACATACAGCAAACCACCCATTGTCTCTCTCCTCAACAATCCTCTCCGTTTCCCAGTCTGGTCCAAAGACGGAATGCACTGCTTGGTTCCCCCCCCCCCCCCCCCGGCCTAAATTATTTCACACCGGTATAGAAAGCCTCAGGATGGACATGCCTGATTTGCTGCCAGTCGCACAAGCAGGGCCCATTGCACTGAATGGTGGGGACTTCACAGGGTGCCTCTGCAGGCCCATCCTTTGGGGCTGGTGGGGACTGGCACACCGTCAGCCCCAGGGAAGAACCAGGAGAGGCCCCCTTCCATCCTTCGGAGTGGGCCCGCCGGGAGCAACTGCTGAGAAGTGGTTGGCTCTGGCCCAACAGGGAACCTCTTACATTCTGTCATGCAGCAGTCCAAGTATCCTGGTGGTCATTGAGTGATGGCTGTCAACTGCTTGCTTGAAATCTTGCTTTGTTTGTTTGCTTATTAATGAGTCTACCCAACTTCAGATGACTCTGGGCAGCGTCCCCTTTAGAAGCAAGTACAACAGAAAGAGAGAAACAGATCACGGACACTCCGGAGGGAACAAAAACCAGTTGAAAGAGCTTCCAAGGAGGGGGTTCAGCAGCCAACCCCTCCTGGGGGAAGAGCCAGGTTGTCAAAGAGTTCTGGAACATTAATAGGGCGGGAGCCATATCAAACTGGAGGATGATATTATTCCAGAGGATAGGTGCTCTGATAGAAAAGGCACACACTGTTTAACTGAAGGGACCTGGACTGGACTCTCTGCCAAATTTTACCTAGTGGGCAGAAATGATAAAAGATAGGTCGTTATAAATAACCAGGCCTTATGCCATGAATGGCTTGTAACCAGCGTCTTAAACTGAACCCGGAAGCCCACCAGCAATCAGCACAGCCCACAGAACAGCGGAGTTTCATGCACATCCCTCGCCACACCTCCATGTTCTGGACCAGTGGCTGATCTTCAGGGCAGAGTGCATTGGAGAAGACACCAAATTGTGCATCAGTCTGAAATGGGGATGTACCGCCTTTCCCAAGACTACCACTCAAAAGCCCCCAGGACCAGGGGCTCCAAAAATTCATAGCCACTCAGGATTTCTCTTCACCATCAAGATCTATGTAGCTTCCAGAGGTTGGGATTTGTCTGGAAGCTTCAACTTGAATAGCCCACAGTTGAGATGTATAGTTGGGTATCCCAATCATCCTGATGATGCCAGATCCCAAGCTGAGGAATAATCTCATCCCGCAGATTCATCTGTAAGAATGAAAAGCGTTGAGCCCTGAAGCACCTCACAAATGTCTTACCACTTAACACCAACTGAAATCCCTCCAGGAGATAGTGGGATAACCAATGTAACACGGTGGCACCTTCTTCCAAGACCTGCAGCCAATCTGGAAGAACTGTGTGAATAACACTCTCAAAAGTTGCTGGGAGATAAAGAAACACAAGAAATGGATACACAGCCCAGCTCTGCCCAAGGACGTCAACAACTCTCTGGCCTGTATTGTGGTTTGGGCTTAATCGTTTTCTCTTATTGCGTATTTGCAAGAGGACCTCGATGCAGACACAATGGGCAAAGTGATGTTCCGTGACGTTGATCTTTTGCCTTTTGTGGAAATACCACAGGAGTTTTTGGACAACTATTGTGCCCAGCTTTGTGTCTGTGGAAAACTGGGTTGTACCCTTTTTCAGGATAGTCAGCAATTGCCTCCTAGCTGCTGTGTGGTTGCATAACATAGTACACAATGAAATATATTCTGCCACACAAGAGTTTTGTTATACGGGCATTGTTGGTGGATGCAGACACACATATGTTCAGAGTTAGATGGCAGATAACTGAACCTCTGACTCTAGTCTGTAGTCTCCTTAGAGAAGAGTTTTCACGCTGGCTTGGGCAAGGGTTCATCCCATCCTCTTCTATGTAATAGAGCTAATGTTGTGCTATTTATCCCTTTTGCAAGCATGAGCTGCGGCAGCGCTGTAGTCATGGTGAGATGGGTCCCTCCTGCAGCCTCAACATTTCTCCCTATTCGGACGAGATGGCTTGCCTGAGAAGCCCTCGTGATGAAGGCTCATGCTGAAACGTGCCTGCTAGATTTTCATCCACAACTGATTCTATCCTGTTAAATTATTTTATCGCATTTTTATTACCACATAGCTTTTCTAAAATGCTATTTGGTTCCATCTTATTAGAGCCAGCATCTATTCATCTCTGTGAGCTTGGCACTAAAACTGGCTCTGCATTACAATCACACATTCATTTTGCTCAAGCTGCTCAAGCTGTATATGATGCAAAAAGACACCACTCCTGATGCTTTCAGGTAGACAGGAGGCAGCCCCCCACCCACCCACCCCCTCTGCTTTGCTAGTCATGGGACGCACCAACTTCAAGGATCCTGTTGGAGATTCTGGAACATCCCAGATGATGCTTTGGGTGGCTGGCTGTAGGGCTGCTGTGCCTGGGTTAATCTTTTCCCATGAAAGAAGAAGAAAATGTTCTTGCTAATAGAAAAGATAGAGTTGAGCCTTTCTTTCTGTGGTTTTCTACACTGAATGATTCTAATGTTTTCATTGAGGGGACTAAGCACTAAGAAAGAGTTGAACGTAGCCTTGAATGGCCATATCTTATGGTAACAGCGGAGATCCTCCAACAGAATGACTTCCCCTCGCTTGAGGTGGTCAAGGACCTCTCCAACCCTGGTAAAAAAAAACAGCCATGAATGGATGGAAGAATAGTGATCCTGCAAGTATACCAAGGAAAGTAACTGAAAGTCCACTGAAGGAACAAAATAGTATTAAAAATATTATAAATTCAAATGTTCTGTTGTAGAAATGGATTTTGAATTGAGTTCCAAGAAGAATTAATGTTTATACTCCAACTTCGTACACTTTTACATTAACGCCTCTCCAAAAAAACCTCAAACACGTTTGATTCCTATTTGCTGCTTCCCCAATGGCAGCTTGACAGAGAGGAGATGATGACTAGGTGACTCCTGGCCAGAGATCCTGGATGGAGGGAGGAGGAAAGGCCGGGCGGAAGGAAGGCCCAGGATCCGTGACCGGGAAGGAGAAGGAAAGGCCAGGGGCAGCCCCAGGAGGGGCCTCTTCATTGGGGCGGGGGGGGTGGCTTCACCAGAGGCATGGAAACGGTGTCACGGTGTGGCTACATCGTGAGGTTGCTCAGGGAAGCGTGTTGGAGTAGAAGCTCAGGCTCTCTGAGATGGTTTTCGTGTCACTGCGGGAAGAGCCGTTGGAGGTCAGGTCGGCTGAGGGGCGCCTGGGTTGGCTGCCCTCCTCCGGTTCCTCCTCTGGGTGGCCGAGGACCGAAGAGACCGTGGTCTCCATCCGGCTGCTCTTGCACAGGCTGCTCTGGACGTGCAGGGACCTGGCTGACTTCATTTCCAGGCCTTCGTATTGGCTGGCGTTGATGAACGGACACCACCGGAAAGCCCGCTTGAAGCCCACCCGGAACCTGAAAAGGCAGAGCAGCCGCATGAGGAGGGGAGCCTCCCCTCGGCTCCCAGGGCCACAGGAACAGCTGCGCTGGCCAGGAGCCCCAGGGCCGGAGCAGCTCAAGGGTCCTCTGTACTAATGTCTAGCGTTCTTTCCATGCTAAGGGGAAAAGGGGAATTCTCTGCGCTGTTAAAAACAGAGCCGATTTGGCATAAATCATGTTCATTCGTATGTTTTTACTGTAATTTTATCTACTTTGCATCCTAGGTTAAGGGGGGGGTGCTCCCTCGTGGCATTATCAGGCTTTGAGGCGGCTAGTAGGTGGCAGCCTCTCTCCTGACTGCCCTCCTCACACTTTCCATTCACAGTGTTGTGCAAGAGCCACAATCCCGCAAAGGTGGGGTGCCAAAGATGAATCTGGACATGGAGCTGCTGCTTCCTTCACACAATCCTGCCTCCCCATTTCAACTCACGCAACTTTGTGTTGAACAGGACAAAAGTGTGGCGTCTTCGGAGGAGGACTGCCAGTCCCACTCTTTTGCCCAGTTTTCCCCAATCCCAGGCGAGCCTTTTTTCTTTAGAGAAGTAGCCAAGCGCACCAGGTGCAGGGAAGGTGAAAAGCAGACTCCTCGTGTTGAGACCAGGCCAAGGTTCAAAAGACTCTGCTTGGTCAGTACACCGGCCTCCCAACCTTTTGCAAGCAGCCCATTCAGGGTTCAAAGCTCTGGCAATTGGCCTGAGTGGCTTCATTTGGCCCCAACCGACAGGGGAGCAGGCCCAGTTCGGCTCTGTCACTCAGCAGAAGAAGAAGGCCTTACCTGTCGTTGAGGCAACAGTAGATAATCGGGTTGTACATCGTGGAACTCATGGCCAGCCACAGGATCGCCAAGTACACCTGCTGGATGTATTTTTCGGAGAACATCTCACCCTTGAAGAGTTGCAGGAGGAAGTAGACGTGGTAAGGCAGCCAGCAAATGGCGAAGGTGCAAACCACCATGATCATCATCTTGACCACCTGCCAAAGGAGGAAGAGGAGGGGGGAGGAGGGGGAGGGGAGAGCCACCAAGTCTGAGCCTCGACAGGGAGTCCGGCTGAGGAGAGAAGTGGGGCTGCTCCCACGGAGGCCCCTGGGGGCTCACGGGGCAGCCCTGCCAGGCAAGTGGCTGCTTCGGGGCCCTGACTTGGGCCTTCCCCTAATGGAAACAGCAGGCCAGCTGTGGGAAGATGGCCAGGCAGTGAGGCCACATCCCCTGCCAGGGTTGTGGTGACCCTTTGGCGTCTTCCTTTCGCCCTTTGAAGAAGCCGAGAGCTCCTTCAGTTCAGAGCATTGGTGGCATCGTGTTTATCCAATCCTTTGGGAGAAGAAGCTCTGTGGCCAAATTGGAGCTAGAACAGGCGAACTTTGGATGTTCGTAACGCAATGACCTGCTGGGGGGATGGGAATGGAGAAGCGAAGGTCTTTGGGGTGCCGCTCGGCTACCATTCCCAGCCTCCATTATCCTTAGCCCTGCTCTCTGGCACTAGCGGTGCTGCCTGGGGGGCTTCTCCACTCTTGGGAGAAAGGAAGGAAGGAAGGAAGCCACCTCCAATGGCTCCAATGAGGGGCTGGCCAGAGATCTTGGCCACCTGCTTCTGCCTCTGCCTGTTCAGTTCACCTTTGGACCCTGAGCCAACTGCCCTCTGTAGCGGGGCTTTCCTTTCTGGTTGAGCTTCTTCTGATGGAGCTTACCTTGCGCTTGGCAGACACCTGTTCGTGGTAGCGGTCCGAAGAATCCCCTGGTATCCCACTAGCCCAGAGGGTGATGCCCACCATAATATAGGCATAGCCTATCACTACAAGGGGTAAGACGTAGGCTAGGACGGTCATGCAGACCTGGTACCTGGAATAAACGAGACACAAGTCAAGAGCCTGGCAATGAAAGAGGGGTTCCCCCCTGCCCCCCCCCCGAGCATCCATTTTATTCTTGATATAAATGCGGCTGCTAGTTGGAACATCCCTGCAACGTCATGCCACAGGTCTGAGAGTGTAACTTGGGCTGCTCTTAGAGGAAGAGACCCAACCTTCAGGCTGATGATGGATGTACCAGGCAATAGCCCACCTCTAAGGCTCTCAGCCCCTCCCCTAAGGCAGGCCACATGCCCTCAACTCTACACAGATTTTCCCCACAGGGGCTGGCAGCCCGTCTGATCTCAGGAGCCCTGAATTAGAAAGGAAACCCCACCTCTCAGCCCCCTCAAGTGAAGTCTGTGGAGTGAAGCCAGTCCTTCCGAGAGCAGAGCGCCCTCCCTCGGCTGCCGGCCCTGCTTCAGAGCGTGTGGCCAGGGGCAGCTGCACCCCACCCACCCCCGCTCTCCCTTCCACCTGCAGGGCTGCCCCATAACCTTCCTTCAGAGACGAGCCCTTCTCCCTGGCCTCCTGCCTGGCTGAGTTTTCCCCCCCCCAGAGACCTGCATTTCCTCCTCATCTGCTTTGATGAGGGCACTGAGCCCATCCAGGCCCCAAACCTCCGCTCTGCTACTGAGAAGCATGAACCTCACTAGGGTAGGTGGGATGAAGGACCCCCCCTCCTTATCTTGGGCTGGGAGCGATTCGGCTGCTGGGAGGGAGGCAGGAGTAAGAGCTGGACCTTTTCCCAGCGAGGCAGCAGGTCCTCCTCGACTGCACCTTCAGCTCTTTCGATATGGCAAATGCTGAAATATGAGACGTCACGTCGAGAATAGACCCTGACATCCCACCAGGCTCCCTTCTGAATGGGCTGCAGCAACGAAAGATGCCAGAGGTTACCCAGGGCCAAGCGGCCGGATGAGCCTGGACTTGGGACTGGAAGTGACCCGAATGGTGGCCAAGGCAACAACAACTGAATGTAGCTCCATGACTTGGAGACCAAGATTCAGCCAGGAAAGGAAGAGACTGTTTGGCAGAAGGCCCAAGGTGCCTCCCTTTCCATCCCTGAGAAGGGATGACAGAAATACAGAACCAAACAAAAGTCACAATAGAATCATCAAATGGTCATTCTGGAGGAGGCTGCAAAGATCATCTAATGATCCAACTTGCTGCAAACATGTAGGAAAACTGATTAGAAGTGGCTGCCCAGCCTCGTCTTAGATGACCTACTATCTCTAGAGGTAGCAATGGATCTTAATAGAAGTTTTTACTTCTTTTTAAGTGAAATCTAGGCAGATGCAACTTATGCAGATTATTTGTAGTTCTGAAGTTTGTAGCAATGGAAATCATTCACGGTCATCTTCTCTATATTTTTATGTATCCAAACTCTGATATCGGTTCTCCCGTGTTTTTCTCCAGACTGAATGCCCTTCAGCCTTTCTACAGCCGATTGACTAAATTCTTTATTTCATTTAGGCAATTTTCAGCAACCTCTCTAGAACCCAGAAAGAATGTATTATATAATATTCATTTAATTATTCATTGAATTTGTATTGCCCGATCCTCATCTAACATCATAAATAAAATATTTTAAAACATACAATAAGAAACAGAAGTAAGGAATAAAAAGATAGCGAAATGATAGAAACCAACCCAATGGGCGCCCATAAGAAGAGTCTCAGGTGCAACGCTTACATTCGGTTGAACTAGGAGGACAAATGATCGGGAATGTCCAGGGTGGCCTTCACAATTCTGGGGGTTGAAAATCGAACCTATCTGGAGGCTGCCAGCTTGAGGGAACCCCGGGGGGAAGATCATCCTGAAGAGTCTCTTGCCTGTACAGTATAAATATTTATATACTGATAATGGCAGAGTTCATCCCATTGGGAATCCCCACCCGTCGCTTTGCCTTTCAATGAAGGAATTAATCAGGGGACTTACGCCAGTCTTCCCTTCGAAGGTGGGGGGGGGGCACACGGGGAAAACACCCTGGGTCCAACGCCCTGCAGTGCTGCCGGTGCAGCTTCTTCTGCAGGGGGCCAAGAGGCTCTCGGGTCCAGGAAATATCCTGAGACGTTGGCTAAGAGTTGACCTGTGGCTACAACAGCTGTGGGCCCCCTGGGCAGCCAGTGTTGGATAAAAACAACGTTACAGAGGATTTTCTTCCCAGCTCTATTGCCCCGCACACCTGCGCACACCTGCAAGTATTGAGTTAGAGCTAAATGGAGTCCTTGTTGCATGTGTCATGCACTGAAGTGCCCCAAAAGGAAAAACTAACTGTACATATTTTGCCTGCACTGTATTTTCTTATTATGAACATATAATCCAGGGCAAATGTCTCTATTGATCAGGACGGGTGGAGAAATAAATGGTTCTGCAGCTGCTTCATCTACATGTCAAATGCATTACAGAGGCCCTGGGTGCGTTTTTACAATATTGTTCTGTGGTTTCCCTTTTCTGGCTCCCAACCTTTTCCAAGTTCCAAACTCCCTCTCTTTGGTTAATGCCAGGGAGTCTTCCTGAGCTGAGCATCCAAAGGGAGGCGGAGAGAGAGAAAGGGCTGGTGGGGAGCAGGGAAGATTTCAGAAGGAAGTCCTGAAGGTTGGACATAAAAAGGAAGGGGAAGCAATTTAATTTTATGAGGTTGAGAGATCCCAGAAGCAAGTTCCCAGATACGGATAATGTTTTTTGCAATGGTTACTAGAAAGAAGGAGGGAGAACTAATTGTTTTATTTGCAACTATATGACTCACTGAAGTCACGCAGCACATCAAATGGTTCTGCAGGAATCAATTTGCCCACTTTTGGAGCCTTCGTGGCAAAGGGTCCCTAAACTCGAGGCTGAGAAATCTTTCTGATTTTAAAAAAAGAGTGAAAAAAGTTTAAAATATTGAAAGTACAAATATAGGTAGTCTTGACTTACAGCCGTTCATTTAGTGACCATTTAAAGTTACAATGGCACTGAAAGAAGTGACTTAGGGCTGTTTCTCAGACTTCTGATCGTTGTAGCATCTCCATGGCCATGTGATTAAAATTCAGATGTTTGGCAGCTGACTCATTCTTATGACGGTTGCAGTGCCCTGGGTCATGTGATTCCCTTTTGTGACCTCTGACAAGGAAAGTCAATGGGGAGGCTGGATTCATCCATGTTACTAACTTAACAAATGCAGTGGTTCACTTCACAGCTGCGGCAAGAAAGGTCATAAAATGGGGCAAAATTCACTTAACTGCCTCACTTAGCAACTGAAATTGGGCTAAATTGTGATCGTAAGTTGAGGATCACTTGTAACATGCTGTACCAAGAAGTTCTGTGAACTTGTGGAGGGAGACCCCCCAACACACGTCCCTTCAATCCACTGAACCACATGCCTTCCTTCTGGGAAAGTCCTTTCGAAACCTTCTCCAAATCTACCGTGGACAATCGAGCATCATTGAGGACTCAACCCCACCACTGCTCCAGCCTTCACATCAAGGTGTTTTTGAGCAAGTTTCAAAACCCTTGAAGTCCATCCGGGAAGGAGTTTGGGTTTTACAGTACACCCCTCCATTGTGATTGTCCTGGTTCCTCCTCCACTTCCCAGTTCTCTAAGCTCATCTCCATCCACCGTGGCATTTGTCCTCTGACCCCGCCAGAGAATTCTTGAGAGTTATCTGATCAACAGGAGGAACATGACAAATTCCAACTGCAGTTGACTAGATTTCATTCCATGGATCGGCCATCCTATTTTCAACTATTCCATATCGAAAGGAGTCGGGGAGCCTCAGGCCACACTGAGCTTGTGTTGTGTTGCATGTGGCTCTTTTCCTTTTTTCATCAGGCCGACTTTTAAGGCATGCTTGAGTCAGAAGCTTTCAGGGCCAGATGCAAATGTATTCCTCACTGCTCTCTGGTTTATCATTTCAGTGGAATGTCAAAATTCAATTTATTTCTTTTGGCATTTCTCATACTGTGATTACTTCATACAGAAAACCTTTCCACACAAGGAAGATATATTCCAGAGCAGAAAAGAATTGCTTAGAGGCAACTTAATAAAAATGACACTAACGGAACAAAATAAGAAAGGATCAAAATGGATAGAAAATGGTCTACAACAAAGTTGTAACTAGGATTTTGAATATCATGAACTGCCTGGGTTAGAAGATCCCCGGGGCCTGGATCAACCCTGCCCACCAGGGGTGTCCATTATTTCAGCATTCCTAGCAACAGGCGGCCATCTGGTCTTGTTTAACCCCCCTACCCCACCCCCACCCCCAAATAAAAGAGAGACTATCACCTTCCTGGCAATCTGTTCCGCTGTTGAGCAGCTCTTACCATGAAGGCATTTTTCCTGATGTGCAATAAAAATCTGCATCCTTCCTTCCCCTGGAAGTCCACTGTCACTTATCCTTCCTTCTGGAATAACTTTGAACCAACCTGCCCCATCTTCTGTACTTGAAGAGAGTTCTCTTCTCCAGCCTAAAGAGACCCAGTTCCTTTCAGATTGTTTGGATCAAGGTTGCTCACCCCTGGACCGATTACTCAAATATGGGGCTTAGAACTGGAGGCAATATTCTTCTTCGGCTTCATACAGAATAGAGAGGAGCAATATCTTCTCTTGAACTTGACATTGTACGCATTTCTTGAATTAATTTAATAGCGTGGCCTTCTACAACTTGAAAATGTTACATTTTGAATGATTGAAGACTAGAAGTATCACGCAGGCTTCATCCCCTGATCTCCCCTGGACGTCTCTTGCCTTCCTTATTACTCAGAACATTTCACCTGCACCAGGTGCCCCTCAAAGCTCATTCTGTTCAGTTCAGAACTTTTATTCCAGCCAAATAATTTGCCCAGGAGAAGAGAGCGAGAAGGAAAGGCACTGGCTGCAGTCTGGAGGGGAATGGGAACTCGCTCCAGGAGCCCTGACTCTCCCGGCTGTGAAGGGGAAAGGGGGCAGGAGCCCCGCCAGCACTTCAAGGTTCACCCCTAAAGCAGCGTTTTAGTATTTCTTGCCATCTCTTTCCTGACCTGGCCTGCCTCAAAGGGCCGACACCCACCGAGTTCTTACCACAACCAACTTGGAAGAACCGGTGGGCTCCCCTCTTCACTCCTCTTTATCTGGAACCACCTTCCAGTGGAGGTCAATCATCAGGAACTGGTTTTAAACTTGCTTGGCATAAACACATGTCCATCATCCAACAAAACTTAAAAATAAAATAGAAATTAATAAAAGATAAAAATAATAAATCAGTGAATGAAGAAGGAAAAAACCCCCCAAAGGGCAGGCTTGATGGACTTTTCTGCCCTCTGTTGTCTACATTTCCATGTTTAACAAGGCCAATATGCTTGTATTCATGATAACTGAAGCATGTAACAATCCTGAACTTCTAGGTATGACCAAATTAATCCCCAGAATGTTTTTTTTTAGGAAATCTGAATTCAGGAAAGAAAACGTGGCACCCAAGTGCCACCAACCGGGATCAGTGGAAGAGCGACAGATAAGCCTGATTTCTCCGTGGGTCCTTTGGCCTGTAGCTCTCTCAGTCCTGAACAGTTCACCAACATTATTTTGCTTTTTCCACAACCACCCCAGTTCTTCAACTGTAAATTCATTATAGTTCTCAATTATTTGAGCTTTGTTTCTATTTAATTCCTTTCTATATTATAAATACTGTTATCATGAGACAGGCAGCTGCTATATGTTTGATTAATCAATCAATAGAAAAAGAAAAATAAGCAGAAACCTCTGTAATAAAACAATAATTCCTCAGATTTGTAGGTGTTTAACTGCCTGGTGGTACTTTCTTGGCCAAATATGGTGTTTGAAGCTGAGAGGGTGACTATCCCCTTGTCTGCCGCAATGAAGGAAATGCAGCCAAGACCTCATCCGACCCAGGGTAGCAACGTTCAGAGGCTGCACAGGGAGGCCAGGAAAGCAGAAGGGGCTGAAACCTGAGATTCTGGCTCCTCTGGAATAATGAGCGCACTCTTGGGAGAAGAGAAACCCCACCCGCCCCAATGCGGCTGCCTTTCCATCTCTAGCAATGGTAACAGCAAGGCCCAACTCACGTGATGGCGGAGACCTGGGTCTGATTCTGCGGCCAGTCGACAAAGCAAATCACTCGCTCAGGCAGCTCCTCAGTGGTGGCATAGTAACCTTGAGGGAAGGAAAGGAGCGAAGCCAAGAGCCATATAACACAGATGACAACCTTGGTGGCTCCAGCTGACAGCCTTGGTTGCAGAGGATGGATAATGGCCATGTATCTTTGAGAGAGAGAGACAGAGACAGAGAGAGGCTTAAAATCTAGGAAGAGAATATTAAACAACCCCTAGAGAGAGAAGTTGGCATCCACCTGCAGCCATGGGTCTCCTCTTCAAAGGTGCAGGGGAGGCTTCTTCATTCTCCAGCCAGTTGAAATCCCTGGATGCCCAGCCCACCTCCAGTCTGCTGCTTTGTCCTTCCCACCTGCAATTGGCAGGAAGCCACGTGCCCTAAACCTTGGGGTGGGGGGGATGGATGGGCGGACGGACGGTGGGCCCTTACCTGGAGGGCGTCAGGCTGCCATGCAGCTTTGATTGCGATCGAGAGTTTTCAGAGTTTTCGGGGCTACAAGTCCAGTCCCACCCAACCTCATTCCCAACATGAGAAGCCTCCTACAATTATGCACAACACCACAATTGCTCTTTGTTTTGCAGTCTCCCCCCCCCACCATTCTATTATTTATTGATTTTCCCAGGTGTTGGTTCAAAGGGTTGGTTATTACCTATAAACCCCGCACGGCATGGGGCCAGGTTACCTACGGAGCCCTCTTTGTCCCATCGAATTAGCCCATCCCACCTGGTCACTCAGGGAAGGCATTGGGCAGAGCCATCAGTCCAAGAATTTCAACTGGGGGAGGGGGAAGAGGGCATTCTCTGCCGCTGCCCCCACATTGCCCCACATCCACTGCCCAGAAGTGGGGAGAGCCCCCCCCTTTCCTGGCCTTCCGCAAAGGTCTCAAAACCTGGCTCTGCAATCTTGCTTGGGGGGCACAGAAAACCATGTAAAAGTGGGGCTGGCCGGTCCCAAGAGAACCCCCCCCCCGTATTAACCAATGCTAAATGCCCATCTTGGATTTGGTTTTAATCCTTTTGAAATGCGATGTTTTCATAAGGTTTAACCTTAATTTTAATAAGTTAATATTCATTTTACACATTGTTTATATATTGATTACATTGTACACAAAAGATGCACGCAGAGGGATCCCATATCCTGAGGCAGGAAAGCACTGGGAATCTTACAGAGAGAAATGTAATGGGCTGTTTGTGACTAAATGGATTATTCATAACCCCTTGTTGAAAACAATTAATTGCAAATATATTTTGCCACGAAGCCACCAAGAATATTTGTTCATGATTTATGATTCCCAGTAGACTGAGCATCATGGTATGAATTCAGTGCTTCATTTTGCATAGGAGGCTTTTGCTCAAGAGGCTGTGAAGGAAGAATTAAACCTAGAGGGGTGTGTGTGTGTGTGTGTGTGTGTGTGTGTAGATGCCATGCTTCCCCTCCCTTCCCATGCAGGTCTACTCAGAAGGAAGCCCCCTGGGGATCAGTGGCATTCATTGGCACATAAGGATGGGCATGAAACTTGGCCTTTCTTGTATGTGTGATCTTGGATAGAAATTATTTGGTTTTTGTTACTGGACTTCTACGGCAGCTCTCTCATACAAGGACTCTAGGAGGCTCCCGCCTATCAAAAAGTAGGAAGGATAAAAATTACAGGCAGTCCTTGACTTACAACCACCCAGCCCAGAATCTTCACCTTGCAACTGATTTAGAGCTGTAGAGATGAGGAATGAAAGGCGTGACCAGATTTGGCAAGTTCTTTCACTTATTTCCCCTCCCCTGTTTTTTATAATTCCTTGCCTGATTAGTAGCTCTGGAGAATTCAAAGGAACGTGCCCCTTTCCATGCCATTTGGGGAAGAGGGAATAAAAGGGATCCCCAGCGATTAATTTCCTATTGTACAGACTGAGAAAGGGGCTGTTCCCCCCCCGCCCCCCGCCCAGTGGATGCTTTCTATCCCACTTGGTTTCTTCCTGCACGATGATATGAGTAACGTTTACTCCTTGTGTTGCTCCTGCGGCAATGACTCTCCCGCTCCACTGCAGCCCTGTCCAGCACAAGGAATCATAAGAGCTGTGTCTTTCCAATTGTTATTTCCATTTACTTATTGGTTTGATTGTTATGCTTTTAACCTGGCCTCTCCCAGGGCTGAAGCAGCTTCTGGTGCCGCGGTTACTCCAAGGCGGTGTAGCCTCTTTCCATGCTGCTGACTGATTAATAGTTCAAAATGCTGATACTTGAACAAATGGAACGCTGGTGTGTGTTCAAATGCGGAGGAAACGCTCCGCACTTCAGTCATCTCACTTCAGCAGCAAGGAACGGCAGTCTCAATAGTCTACAGTTGCGTACAGGCATTTTGCCCGTTTGTTTCATCCGTTTTGCTTTTGACTTCGTCCACTCTGCTTTTCCTAGCTGTGGAGAGATGAGGGCCCAGCGCCTGATGTGTGAACACCCCTTTGTCTGCTCTTAAATTCTCCAGACTCAAACTAACTCCTGTTGAGAATCCTAAGGATTAGGATTGTAGGTTTCAAAAGCAAATTTCAAAAGGTTTGATGTTTCAAAAGCAACTGGGTCTGTCCTCCAGGAGCCCCACCTGGACTCCCCGGGGCTCCCTCCCTCCGTTCTCACCACAACAGCCGCCTCCTCGCCGGGCTGCACGTGCGCGGACCAAAGTCTCTGTGGGACCTTTGGGGTCCCGAGGATTCCAGCAGCCATCCGGCTCCCAACCAGTTTTGGGGAGGTTTGACGGAGGCTGGGAAAGTGAGCTACCCCTCTCCTTTGCCTGGCTGCCATCCAGGAAGAAGGCTGCTTTCTTCCTGTATGGATTGGAAAACGGTCCCTCTTGTCAGAAATTCATTCAGGGGAGACAGAAGGCAGCCTTTTTGCTCCTGCCCCCATCTTCTTGTCTCAGGCAAGCTGAAAAGGCTTGGGGGCACCACGGAGGGAGCTCTCCTCCTTCAGGGCTGCCCCGTTGACTCTTGACTATGTCAATGCCTTGGTGCCCTCTGCTGCCCACGGTGGTGGGGGGGGGGGCTGGTGAAGGGCCTGCGGGGGGGGGGGGGGAGGTGGGGCGGCGGGGGGGGGGGGGAGATTTGCTTCCCATAGTTTGTGAACATCGCTTCTGAATCTGAGGATGGCCAGGAGGAAAGCTCTTTGTGGGTTTCGAAGGGTTTTAACACCCCCTCCCTCCCCCCTCCACATTTTTTCCACCTTTCTCAGGGAAGGGTTTCCTTCGTGGAGGTTGTTTTGTGTTCTGAAACCCACGATCGATCGTTGTATAAAATGAAAAGCGTTCACTCTTGTAGAATGGTAGCAGTACAGGAAGCATCTGCCCTTAACTACCACAGCAAAAGTGGAAAACGTTTTACTTCCCCCTTGACTGCCTTGAAACCTTCCACCCTAAAAAGCAAGGCAGCCGCAGGGAAGGGAAGGGAAGGGAAGGGAAGGGAAGGGGGGCCACAGGGCTTTTCTCTAAACAAGAGGAATGTCTAGACGATGGTTGCTTTCCTGGACTGTGGGCTGCTTTCACCCGTCACATGCCGGTACCTTCCAGTTAGAAGGCGGGGTGGTGGTGGCAGGGAGCTCCCTGCGGGCTTCACCCACCACTAATTTGGAGGTCAGAGCTGCAGTTTTTCCTCTGCCTGGCTGTTATTGCTCTGCTGTGATGAATGCTTTTCATTCCATGCGAGGAGGGAGAGCTTCTGCCCTCTGTAGGCTCCTAATGGCCAAAACGTGGAAGGCTCCCCTTCTGCCTATGCTCGAAGTCTTTAGGGGTTTGCAATAAGGCAAAGTGTGTCCTTCCTGTTGTTTTTATCTTCTTTGGTTGACTCTAAGCTTTCCTTTGCTTCTGAGCCTTGGCCCCTGGGGTGAAGCCAGAGGGGCCCTGGAGGGCCTTTTGCCAATGCTGGAGACCGAGGAATTCTGTAACAGGCTTTGAACTGGGACTTCTGAGCAAACCTGCCCAGGCCTTGGGTGCAGCTCCTCTCCTCTCTTCCCTTCCCTTCCCCTCTCTTCCCCCTTCCGTTCCCTTCTCTCCAGTTCGGGAGAAAAAGGGCCTGACTCTGACAGAAGAGGCGAAAAACAGCGCGAGGCACCGATTGTGGGCGAGTTTCTGCCCCTCAGCCAAGCCGCCTCCCGAGGTTGTCGGGAGACCCGCATTGTTTTGGCTTCCGCAGCTCTGTTGAGGTGCAAAGAACGGCTCCGGGGCGGGAGCGGCCCATTTGGAGCCCCAGTTGGGAGACGGAGTCCGGGGAGGGCTACCTGGGGCCAGGACAGGACGGGGGGGGGCTTTCCCAAGGGGCCCAGGCCAGTTGCAGCTGCACAAGCAGCGGAGGCCGCCGCCGCCCCCGGGGGAAGCCTTCAGAGCCTTTGGAACAGGCGGCCGCCGTGGTTCGGCTGAGGCCGTCTGAGCCCCGGGTACCAAGGAGCGGCGCCCCCTCCGCCGCCGGAAGGCTCCAGGTTCGCCTGGGGAAAAGGCTGGCCGTTCGGTGCTGGACGGGCGGCGGCAATTTCCCGGGAAAGCCCGCACCGGCCCCCTGCCCGCCTCCCTCGAGCCAGCCGCGCCCAGCCGCGCCCTCCCCGCTCCCCTCCCGGCCGCCGCCGCTCCCGGCTCACCTGTCGGCGGCGATGGCCGTCATGGAGTAGATGCTGGCCAAGACGGCGGCCACCGGGAAGAAGTTCTGGAAGCGGCAGTAGGCCGGCCCGTAGTACCAGACGTTGTGCACGGCGTAGGTGAAGTTGACCAGCGTGTTGAAGGCGGCCATCGCGGCCTCGGCGAAGGCCAGGTTGACCAGGAAATAGTTGGTGACGGTGCGCATCCGCCGGTGGGCCAGCACCACCCACATCACCACCAGGTTGCCCACCACCGACACCAGCACCACCAGCGCGTACGCCGCCGACCACAGCGCGACCTGCCAGCCCGGCTGCACGAAGGGGTTGCCCGCCGAGTCGTTCCCCGCCGCCGCCGCCGCCGCCGCGCTCGCCTCCATCCCCGCCGCCCGAGAAGAGCCGCCCCGGCCCGCCAAGCAACGGCTCCCGCGCCCGTCGGACTTGGAGCCGCCTTCCGCCCCGGCTGCCTCGGGATCCCCCCGCCGCCGCCGTCGCCGCCGCCCGCAGCGCCCGCCTGGCTTGCCACAGCCCGCCGGCTTTTTATAGCCCGGTGGCGGCGGCGGCGCGTCAAGGAAGGTGGGCAGTGACGGCGGCGTGCAGGCAGCGGACCCGCTCCCCGCCGCGCCTTCCCGCCAGCCCCGCCTGCCGCCTCGCGTGGAACCGGACGGGCCGGGCCGCCCCCGAGCCGCCCTCTGCTGCGCGGCTGGGCTCCGCCGGCGAAGGCTCCGCGCTCGGAAGTTTCTTGCGACACTCAGGCAGGAGCGGCCTTCCTCGGCTGCGAGCTGCCTCCAGCCCCGGGTGCCTCGCCTTCCCTCCCGCCGCGGCTTCTGGGTCAACTCCTCAGGGGAGCCCCGGTGAAAAGGCGGCTTTGGCTGGACAGAAGTGGACGCAGCAGCGCCTGACCAAAATTCTCCAGCCTGAAGGATTCCAGGTGCCTCTTTCAGGATAATAAAACTAAAGCCGAGCTTTCCTTCAGGTCTGCCGTACACCGTAGCAACGTAAAAGGGGAAGAAAGGCTAAGTCAAAACGCCTCTAGAGCCTGCAATCCTAAATGACCTAGGAAGCCATAAAGACCATTTGAACTTGCCATTAAATGGTCCCCTATAAACCAAATCCCTCCCTTGGCATCCACTCAGGGCAACTCCAAACAAGTCTCTGGCGACCTCTAAGAAAGCGGAGTGAACGGGCATCTTCCAGAGGCGTCTCAGTGCTGCTCCGTGAAAGAAGAAGCCAGTCCAAGCCACCAGGGAGAGCCGTGGTTCAGATCTCCACAGGAAGCTTTAAGACCACTTTGTAATACTTGGGTAAGGCCATTTTGGGTTGCAGACAATAAGACCAAGATAAGAAAGCCATCGATGGTATGTCAAGTCAAAGAACAAGCCTCCCTAGAAGGAGTGCACCAAAAAAAACCCAATAAAGCTTTCATGTAAATGTCTGCAACCTGCCCTAGAAAAGTTGGACTCCCTCCTCAGCCAACTTGGGGGCAGCAGTGAAAAACAGGTCCTGAAATGAACACTCCCGATAGTCCAAGGTGGTTTTCTTTCACCTGTTTTTAGGTTGACTTCTACAGGATTCCACTTAAGGTTCCTTGGCCCTTAAAAAAAGTTAGAAACAACCCCATCCCACAGAGGGATTCATGAACATTCAAGCAGGCCCAGCAAAGATCCAGAGTCTTTGGTAGCTGCAAGTCAGGTCACCTTGTGACCAAGGATTCAGAGCAAAATACGGAATAACAGAATTGGAGGGGGCATTGGAGATCTTCTAGTCCAACCCCTTGCTCAAGCAGGACACCTTAAACCATTCCAGACAAAGGCTGTCCAACGTCTTGAAAGCCTCCAGTGACAAGAGCACCCACAACGTGTGGAGGCAAGCTGTTCCACTCATCAATGGTTTTCTCTGTCAAGGAATTCCTCCTGCACAGGTACAGAGTGGGGGCTCCCTGACTCAACGGTAGTGACTGCGAGAGAGATCTAGGCGTCCAACTGGACCACCGCTTAAATCTAAGCCAGCAATGGGCTACAGCTGCCCCACCAGCCAATGCAGTGCCAGGCTGCATCAAGTGAGGAAGAGCATCAACATCACGAGAAGTGATGGGATTCCTTTACGTTCTCCTGGGGAGAGCCCCCTTGGGACTCTGGGTCCTCCAGTGCTGGCCACCACCACACAAGAAGGAAGTGGAGACGTTAGAAAGAAAGTGGAGAAGAGCCACAAAGACAGTGATAGTCTGTGGGCTGCATGGAGAGGATGGGGGGGGGGCATGACCACTCTCCTTCCAGCACTTGAAGGGCTGCCACTGAGAAGAAGGGACCGGCTTATTCTCTAAAGCACAAGAGAGCAGGAGTGGACGGGTGGACGCTTGTCAAAGAGAGATCCAGCCTAGAATCAAAAAGAAACTTTCTGACAATCAGGGGAACAGCCCACCTCCCAGCGTTGTGGGTGCTGCGTCCCTGAAAGTTTTTACAACTAAACTGGGCCACCATTTGACCAGACTAGTATAACGACTTCGGCCTTGAGCAAGGGGTTGGACTAGAGGACCTCCAAGGTCCCTTCCGACCCTCCGATTCTGTGTCCTGTGAAGACAGCAGTTTGGAATCTAGAGAGGGAAGAAATCCTTTCGTGACTAACCATGCAGTAAGCATATTTGGTTTCTCACATTCCCCAGCCTGAAAGTCACAGACGTCAGTCTGTTTTGAGAACAAAAAGGCATCACTCACTTGTTTAAAGGCTTCTGTAGTATTGGTAGATGCTTCAAAGCCTGAGGTCTACCAATGGGGAAGTAATCTTCTGGGAAAACAGAGGAAATTTCTGTGCAACTATTTTTGAAATTATCCCTGAAAATGTCATGTTTTCATCAAGCTAGTTGGCTTAAAGAAGGAAGCAAAGCCCATGCATTTTCCATCCACATTTGACCCAGAAGAGGACGGAAATCTAAGCTGCTTCCCTCCTCTGTGTACCCAGCAGTATCCAGGCAATATGATCTTCTTTTAATTCTGATTCCAGGTTTTATCTTATTTTCCTCCATATTGAGTCAAAATAGGGAAATTTGCTTTACTCAGCTACAAACTGTGAAGGTAAAGAGATCCTTTCATGTGCTGCTACCATTGGTTTTCATCGGCTGAACTCTTAAAATCCAGTGGTGGTGGTGAGTCTTTAGCGCCCCTTGAGCTCCTGTCTTCCGGGTGGGAGCAGAGACCACCCAGAGAGAGAAAGGCTGGCTCTGGCTCTCCTCTTGGTCTCCCACCTGCGTGATCCTGGCCTACGAGATTCTTCATCTTCTCCCTTCCTTCTTGGAGCTCTTGCTTTTTCCTCCTGGGGGATCTAGCCAGGTGCTCGGCTTTGTCGGCATCTAGTTCTGCACTTTCTTGACAGGAGTGTGGAATTGGTTTCACCGGTTCTGCTCAGGTCAGATTTTCATTCCCTTGCATGCACAGAATCCTCTGCTCCCCCTGCAACATCTCTAGTCATTCACAGGCACCACAAGTTGGGGGTGTCTGAGCACACAGAAGTTTCACTTATTTGCATGGGTGGGTCTAAAAAATTACACCCTGGAATTTCAAAACCATCATCCTGATTCTGAGGAGCTCAAGAAGTGGACTGGGACAGCTCAGCTCAGCCAATGTGCCCCAGGACAACTCACTGCGAGACAATTCAATTTAATTCTTTTAAATCATTAAGACATTTTAATTATTGTCATTCACATTTTATTTTGTCCCTCCTTTGACATCTTTTCTTTAATGATTCCATTCCTCTATTTCTTCGATATTAGTGTAACTCTCGTCTAGCAGCGGGTTGTGATAGACCTCTCCAGAAGACACTGAGGCACACCGTCTCCTTCTAGGCCATGAAGCTCAGGTGCGTAGGTTTGAGTTCTTCCTTTCCCTGAAAACCTGCCTTCCTGACACCATGGGAAGGAAAGGGTATGACGGAGGACTTGCTTTATTGCCACCACGGCCATTTGAATGTCCTGCAGAATTGCTAACCTTCACAATTCCACCTTTGCTGGAGGGAGAACCGAGGCCATCCTGACCCACCCACTGAGTACGGTGGATGGAAATGGATTGTGTGGCCAATGAGTTTCGGTTCCGCAATTAGGGAAAATGGAAAAGCCAGAGAATGCAAAAGAAGATTTGTGCTTTACGAGCTCCTCTTTTGGGGGGGAGCTAGGAACAAAACTGTTATCCTCACTATTTCCTTTAACAATTCTTATTAGATTTTGGTTCCTAACTGTAGGCCACCCAAAGTGATTTGGGAATCAGGAGGCCTATAAATTAGATAAAACAAATGCCCCACCTTTGTCTATACAATTTCAAGGCAAGTAAACCCTGACACCACCCTCTTTCTTAGACCCGATGTTTCTTCCGCTCCACCCAGTCCATCAGAGAGAAGCCATCCGATTGCAGGCTGCTTACAAGATCCAGGCCCTCTGTGATTTGTGAGGGGCTGCCATAATGTCTTCTTTCATTCCCGTGCTCTACTGGGGGGGCTGAGGGGAGGCTCTGAAAGCTCCTGGCCAAGTCAAAGGCTTAGGGTGGCCTTATTCTGCATTGCAGCTGCTTCAACAGCTTTCCCCGACCCTCTGAGGCTGAAAACGCCACTGTACAAGTTGATCAAGCTCTAACCTTTTCCTACCTTTAATTATAGACATCGCTGTTTTCCATTTATTTAATCAAAGCTGGGCACTCTGAGATGGCAGCTGATGTGGTGCTTAATACATATGCTGTTGCCATAAAATCCTGCTTGACATTTTGTCACCTCTCATTGAAGCCAGTTCAAGTGATTAATACAAAGAATTCCTTAAAGCGAGTAACTCCCTTCATCGGATGATGCTCCTGAAGCATATGTAAAGCTAAACGGAGGAGAGCCTTGCTGAGCCAGCTGACTACCATGGGCAATTGGCTTCCAGGGTGGGAGATAAAGGGGCCGCTCTTCCTTCATCCAGGCTCGCCCAGGGAAGAGGAATTGTGGCTGGCAGAGGAGGGAAATCTGCTTGCCCGCCTTTGGGTTTTTCAAAGTTGTCTGCTCTGCAGAACCTGGTAGCATCCCTTGCCGTGGCACAGAAGTTACTCCAGAAGCCACCTGCAGCTGCAAAGAACAGGCAGTGGTCACGTAGTGCACTGATGTGAGTTGAGTGGCTTTACTGAGTGAATGAATGAATGAGCAAACCCTGCTAGTTGCATATAACAAAAAAAGTGTTGGAAAGATGGGATGCCATAATTACAATTATCCTCAGAGGACTGATTTCTCCTTGATTGTTTGTCTCATGTGAATCCTTGATTTAAATACCAAAGGCCGATCCGCAGAGAAAGGTTAGAGTGCTGCGTTGGCTGGAGCTGGTCTTCTGCAGGGCTACAACTTCCTCTAGTCCAGAAGAACTTTTCTCTCCAAAGGTTCTGCCATTAACCATGTGCCTGAGAAGCAACAAAGAAACTCTGCACGCGTGGAGGTGGACAATTAGACAGAGTTTCAGAAAAGGTAGTGTGGCAGCCAACCAGACTTGGTTTAACTATCCTTCCCCTAAGTGATGGCTGTGGACCACAGGTGGGAGAGCTGAACTGGTGAAACCAAACTTGAAATGCCACGTACAGTTCTGGTCATTGCCAATACTGAAAAGATGTTGAGTCTCTAGAAAGAGTGCAGAGAAAAGCAACAAGGATGATGATGGGTCTGCAGGCCAACCTACCTGGTGAATGGCAGGAGAAGTAGGGATGTCTGGCCCATCAAGGGTTACCATGGTAACTGTCTTCCAGTCCTTAAGGGGTCATCACAAAGAAGAGGGGATTGAGTGCCTTGGACGTTCTGACATTTGGGGGCCAGTATGGTTAACTCAACCATTGGTCCAGCCCCAGGAGGTGGTGAGTTCTAGTCCCACCTTAAGCACAAAGCTAGCTGGGTGACTTTGGGCCAGTCACTTTGTTTCAGCTCTAGGAAGGAAGCAATAGCCACCTCTGAGAAACCTTGCCAAGAACCTTGCAGGGGTATGTCCAGGCAGTTTCTAGGAATTGGACACTGGACACCATTGAACAGCAGAAAAGAAAAGACAAAAATAGACATTTGCTGCTAGAAATGGCTTTTGGGATAGAGAGAAATCATTAGAACAAGGTGTTATTTCTAAATGGAGAAATTGCTGAGCCCCCTTCCAGCTCTCTGGCTTCCTTTCCCATTGTTCTCAGGTAAGGTGGACTCTTCCTCCCAGGGGAGTCGGTGCTCCTAGCGCTGAAAGGGAGAAGTTGCAATCCTGGGTGGGGACCAGCTGTTTATGGAAGTCACCTCGACTTCGATGCAGAGATGGAGATCCTGAGACGATGCGGTGGGGGAGGCTGCCCACTTGCCCCAGCTCAAATATTGGAACGCTGCTCTTATGTCCCCTGTGGTCCTTCTTTTCACTAGACCAGACCAACTGAATTCCTGAGACCATTCTTCATATATTGTAGCCTCCAGCCCCTAACTGTCTTTGTGGCTCTTCTCTGCATTCTTTCCATAGTCTCAACATCTTTTTTATATTGTGGCAACCAAAACTGCCATATTCCAGGCATGGTCTTACCAAGGTCTTATCAAACGGTATTACTACTTTACGTGATCTGGATTCTATCCTTCTGTTAATGCATCTTTAACAGCTTTTTTGATGACTGCTGGCTCAGATTTAAATGACTGTCCACTAGCACTCCAAGATCCCTCCCACAGTTACTGCTGTTGAGCCAGGTTTCACCTATTCTATAGCTGTACATTTAGTTTTTTTGCCTAAGTATAAAACCTTACTTTTCTCTACACTGAATTTTATTTTATTAGATGGGGCCCAGTGTTCAAGTCTATCGAGATCTATCTGGATCTTGAATCTATCTCCTGAGGCGTTGGCTATTCCTTCCAGTTTCGTATCGTCATACTTGGTACAGATTCAGTCCAAATTGAGCTAAGGACACCTCTAAATGAAGCAAACGGCACAGAAATAAATGAAGTCTTCTGCAAAACCCAAGTGATGCTCTTCAGCCCAGGTCAAAGTAACAAGCACATGGACTAAATCATCACTTTGTTTAACCACAGCAACTCTGAAGGTTAATTTTGAAATTTTACCCAAAGTCTCTAGGCTCTTTCATGAAATACAGTTCATCTGTATTTTTAGAAAGCTTCTTGTGCCGGAAGGAAGAGAATTCCAACAGCGGATTAATTCAAACAATATCTGATGAAAAGCAAGGTAAGAAGCAAAATAGGATTTGAATTGAGAACATAAAAGGCTCAGAAGGGACTTGAGGGCAAAACAAGAAAGTCATATGTTCCTTCCAACTTAAGATGATGTTCAGGGAAGGGAAGAAAATATACAAAACAATAAACAAAGAGAGAAAGCACTTGGTTTTCATGGACTCTTCCCAGAGGAGTCTGCAAGGTTTTACACAATGTTGTCAATGTTGGTGCCATTGAAGCTCTGCCCATTTTTATGGGTATTGCACACCTAATAACAAAATATCGGTGCCCGGGTTGAGCTGCGAGAGCCAAGGCTGAGCTGCCATGCAGCAATGCCAACACAGGGCCTGAAGATGCAGCTGGAGCCTGGAGAATCTGAGAATGGGGGGTTGGCACCTAGAGCTTTTGGGGTGGGGGCCATGGACCGGCAGGCCAGGAGTGGGTTCCAGAACAGACAGCGCTAAACCGGGGAAGACACCCCCGATGTGTAATCCCGGTGGCATGTTCTGGCCCTGGGGGCTCACTCCCAGCCCCCTTGGAGGCCCTGCGGTCTGGCTGACGAATGCCTTCTGTCCCTCGGAATGCTGGGTGGTCCAAGCACAAGAGATGCCCAGATGCTGCAGGAGGAAACCGAGGGAGGACTCCAACCGAGTATGACTTAGAGCTGCCGCTAAGGCCTACCTTGTTGTGGTTCGAGCAGTGGAAGATAATGGTTTCTCTGCCCTTATTGCACTTGCTGAGTGTTGCCTGTCAGCCCTGTTCAGGATCGCTCTGTCCTTCCTGGGATGGGGGGCTCAGAGGACCCTCTTCAGGGCTGCGCAGAGGAATGTGTCCAACACCTGAGGGGGTATTGCAAATGGCGCCAGGCTCAACTCTGCCCCAGAGTACCTGTGTTTCCTGCTGGCCCTCGTGCAATTTCCTCACTTGATTGCGGGACTCAATTGTTTTGCATAAATAGGCACACAAGCATTGTTTGTGTGGTTGGGTTCAACAAACCAGAAGAGAACATTGGAAAGCCAATAGCTCTGCCAGGCTCCAGCTGAAGCCCACAGTCTACTTGGAGGGCATCCAAGTCAATCCTGGATCCACCCAAAGGACGGAGTGTTTTTACATTAAGACTTGGCAGACCAACATGCCATGCTCCTATTTTTCCTTAAAAACAATCTGTCTGCAAATTTCCTGTAAATCCAATGCAAAATACTTCCCCTTTTCATGTACTTTGCCACCACCTCCTCCTCACCTTGGAGCCTCTACTTTCTGAAAGTCACAGTACACAACATTCCTTCCCTTATTTTCTGTTCCATTGTCTTGGCTTCCTAAGAGCCCTTCCATACTAACACACCATCTTTGATTTATCGCTTCAATTACTTGGACTTCGACACTTTAAAGCTGGTCTGCTTTGGGGAGGGAACTTCAGGTTGCCTGAATTCAGGGACAGCTTCTTGTATCCTCCTATGGAGAGGGCAACCTGGCAGAGAAGAGGCACCTGCTGGGTGTTCATCATGAGCTCTTCCCTTTATCTGCGGCTGCTGCGGCTTTTCTGCAGAAGGTGCTCCAAGCAACACACCCGCATTTACTTAGCTTGTCTCGACTAGATGAATTCCAGGGCAGCTCTACCATCTTCCCCTTCTGAAGTGGTTGGGAATCTCCTTCACTCACTCATCCATGTCCTGTGTACATTTCCATAGCCTTGGAGTGGAGACCTGCACATATGAGGGTGTAAAATTTAGGGACAAGAACTAAACTAGGAACAAAGTCATTAAGAGAAAAAGAAAAGTCACCTTAAAGTCCAAAGGATTCACAGGGCTTGTGGCAGTGTCTCCCTCTCCCCGTTCCCTCCAGTGGGTTTGGACCCCAGAAGAGATGGCTCAGAGCTCAGGAAAAAACACTAGAAAGAGGGAAACTATGATGTTGGAAGGGAGAGAGCTCAATTTTTGAACATCTTGTATTTTCCAATTGTCAAACAGAGGATACAGATCACAGCAGGCCATGCAATCTGGGGCTGGCCCAGGAAGATGGAAGTTGCTTCCACTCCATTTGGACCTTACAGGCTCCCAGGTGGAGCCTTCAGCTCTGAGAGAGCAGTTGTCCTTGAATGCCACTTTTCTCAAGCAGATCAGAGCAATAGCCAGTCCAAAGGCCTGGGGCCATTTAGGCAAGCATAGAGGCAAAGGAGAACCACAGCCCATCAAGTGCACCATTCTCATCGCCATGACCAAAAAGGCTCTACTGGGTGGCTACTTCCCTGGTGAGCAGCTTCCAGAAACCTTTGTGAGCCATCTGGGGAGCTGATGTGCTGATTAGTGTCCTGCTGCAGAAGGACAACGTCAAGGGAAGGGTTGGCTCCTGGTGTTTTGTCTACAATTGAACCTACTGGTCTGATCCAAACTGCAGCTACATTTCTTGGGTACTTATGACTCCTTTTCTTTTCTTTTTGCCTCTAAAACCCACACATATAGATATACACACAGTTGCCCTTCATCTGCCATGGTCTCAGTGGAGTATGAGGCCACCCACTGCCGGAGACAGGATGCTTAAGTGAAAGACTTGATCTGATCAGGAGGGCTGTTGCAAATATTAACCATAAATAAATATGGGGCAGAATAATCAACAGGACGAAAAAGGGCTTCCAACGCCCACCCTATCAAGCAGAGACCATGAAGATGGAAGAGCTATTCGGAGAAGATCGTGTCTTGGTATTCATAAAGACAAATGGCTAAATCAATACATTTTCAGTGGGATGCTAAAGCATTATGTTATCTTTTATTATTCTCATTTAGCAACAATTTCAAAGACCTTTGGTTTAATTTATTTCCAATGCATCAAGATGACACCCAAACCATGCAAAGTCTCCCACGCAATTAATGAGATCGTTGGGATTTGTCTGTCATGGAAGGACCTGCTGACAAACCTGAGCTGTGGAGATGGCAAGTCTCACCGATGTGTCCCCCTCCCTCCTCTCAACAAACATTCACGGAGTTGGGATTAACCAGGATTAACTTTGGTTTGCTGGATCCGATTCTGCTGCGCAGCATTTTTCCTTCCTTCCTTCAACAGATTCATGAATGCCTCCTGGTGTTCCTTGTAATCTCTTTCCTTTGCTTCTTTCTCCCCGTCTCCTTTCTGCTACTGCCTTGGCATGATAGTGGAGCAGCCCTCATTTGCCTTTAGTAATTCCTTCACTTCTCTTCCTTCTTGGCCCTTTTAGTAATAAAGAAAACAATTTCTGGACTCACTGAATTCTACCCCTAATATCTAGTGCCCACCTGTCCTCTTGCGAGATCTTCAAACAAAATGTGGCTGGTTGTGCCAGAACAAGAACAATTGTGAGGCTTCGGGAAAGTCAGTCCCAGTCAAACACCTATTCCTGCTCCATGAAACCCAACAACCTTATTTATTTATTTATTTATTTATTTGATTTGCCAATTGTTTACAAGATAATAAGTATAAGTGTATACATAGTTGTGAATACATGAAATGGGTACATATAAGAAAAATAAAAGAATAAGAGAAACAATAGGACAGGGACGGTAGGCACGATGGTGCGCTTATGCA